GATAGATAGATAGATAGATAGATAGATAGATAGATAGATAGATAGATAGATAGATAGATAGATAGATAGATAGATAGAACGATAGATAGATAGATACCCGTCCCTTCCCCTCGCAGCCAATCAGTGCGAGGCTCTCGCGGCAGGTCGGTGCGTCGCGCTCGCGGACGATCAGACGCTCCATATTTAGCCGTCGCGAGTCTCGCGGAGGCTCTGAGTGTCAGAGAAACCCTGCGAGAGAGAGAGAGTTCAGCTCCCAACTTATTTCATGTCACCGCCGGTGTAAAACGGAGGGAATCCGCGCTATCGAAAAGCCTCGAGCTTCGAGGACGGAATTCATGGATGATCGGGGACCTTCGCCTGCGGCGTTTCACGGGATTTTTCTCCTCACAGATGGGAATGTAGCTTAGCTGGTTAGCCTGGCCGCTAGCAGTAGCAGGCTAGCTGTGTCGAAGAGCGGAGGCGACATCAGTTGACTTTTACTCGCTGTAGCGTCATAACACCTCAACAAACCGCCTCGGTCTTTCCAAAGACGCGTTTCTGAAGGCGTCGCCGTCACAGAAACAGCGATTCGGGACTGTATTCGGGCAGGTTGAGGGGAACTTCACGTTTTAGCTGGCTGGCTAGCTGGCCGTCACGTCAGTCTGTCAACCGAGCCTGAAATCCCGGCCGGATAGTTCGAGCCACGGAACCTCGGCCTCCTCTGATACACGAGCTTCTGGGAAGGTGGACTAGGAGCCCGTAAACCGGGAGGCGACGCTCGCATTGGGTTAACGGAACCAGTTCGGGCGGCTTCTGAAGTTCGTCTACTACGAGCCGGGGAGGGAACCGGACAGAGACCTCATGAATGGAAATCGGAACTACAGGTGTGTGTGTGTGTATGTTGTGTGTGTGTGTATGTTGTGTGTGTGTGTATGTTGTGTGTGTGTGTATGTTGTGTGTGTGTGTCTGTTTTGTGTGTGTCTGTTGTGTGTGTGTATGTTGTGTGTGTGTGTGTTGTGTATGTTGTGTGTGTCTGTGTGTGTTTGTGTTTTGTGTGTGTTTGTGTTTTGTGTGTGTTTATGTGTGTGTGTATGTTTATGTTGTGTGTGTGTGTGTCTGTGTTGTGTGTGTCTGTGTTGTGTGTTGCGTGTGTTTGTGTGTGTGTGTGTGAGAGTGTGTGTGTGAGAGAGTGTTTGTGTGTGTGTGTGTGTGAGAGAGTGTTTGTGTGTGTGTGTGTGTGAGAGAGAGTGTTTGTGTTTGTGTGTGTGTCTGTTGTGTGTGTGTGTGTGAGAGAGAGAGAGTTTGTGCGTGTGTGTGTGTGTGTGAGAGATGTGTGTGTGTCTGTTGTGTGTGTGTCTGTTGTGTGTGTGTCTGTGTTGTGTGTGTTGTGTGTGTGTGTGTGTGTGTGTGGTGTCTGTGTTGTGTGTGTCTGTGTTGTGTGTGTGGTGTGTGTGTGTGTGTGTGTGTATAATGTGTGTGTGTGTGTGTGTGTATAATGTGTGTGTGTGTGTGTGTGTATAATGTGTGTGTGTGTGTGTGTGTATAATGTGTGTGTGTGTGTGTGTGTATAATGTGTGTGTGTGTGTGTGTGTATAATGTGTGTGTGTGTGTGTGTGTATAATGTGTGTGTGTGTGTGTGTGTATAATGTGTGTGTGTGTGTGTGTGTATAATGTGTGTGTGTGTGTGTGTGTATAATGTGTGTGTGTGTGTGTGTGTATAATGTGTGTGTGTGTGTGTGTGTATAATGTGTGTGTGTGTGTGTGTGTATAATGTGTGTGTGTGTGTGTGTGTATAATGTGTGTGTGTGTGTGTGTGTATAATGTGTGTGTGTGTGTGTGTGTATAATGTGTGTGTGTGTGTGTGTGTATAATGTGTGTGTGTGTGTGTGTGTATAATGTGTGTGTGTGTGTGTGTGTATAATGTGTGTGTGTGTGTGTGTGTATAATGTGTGTGTGTGTGTGTGTGTATAATGTGTGTGTGTGTGTGTGTGTATAATGTGTGTGTGTGTGTGTGTGTATAATGTGTGTGTGTGTGTGTGTGTTGTTGTGTTGTGTGTATGTCGTGTTTTGTGTGTATGTCGTGTGTGTGTGTATGTCATGTGTGTGTGTATGTCGTATGTTGTGTGTGTGTGTGTGTGTATGTTTGTTGTGTGTGTGTGTGTGTGTATGTTGTGTGTGTGTGTATGTTGTGTGTGTGTATGTGTTGTGTGTGTATGTCGTGTGTATGTGTTGTGTGTGTATGTCGTGTGTTGTGTGTGTGTGTATGTCGTGTGTGTGTATGTCGTGTGTGTGTATGTCGTGTGTGTGTATGTCATGTCGTGTGTGTGTATGTCGTGTGTGTGTATGTCGTGTGTTGTGTGTGTGTGTGTGTGTATGTCGTGTGTTGTCTGTGTGTGTATGTGTATGTCGTGTGTTGTCTGTGTGTGTGTGTTTGTTGTGTGTGTGTGTGTGTTTGTTGTGTGTGTATGTTGTGTGTGTTGTGTGGTGTGTTGTGTCTGTGTTGTGTCTGTGTTGTGTCTGTGTTGTGTGTCTGTGTTGTGTGTGTATGTCGTCTGTGTCGTGTGTCGTGTGTGTGTGTATGTTGTGTGTCTGTGTTGCGTGTGTGTGTGTGTGTGTGTGTGTGTGTATGTTGTGTGTCTGTGTTGCGTGTGTGTGTGTGTGTGTGTGTGTGTGTATGTTGTGTGTCTGTGTTGCGTGTGTGTGTGTGTGTGTGTGTGTGTGTATGTTGTGTGTCTGTGTTGCGTGTGTGTGTGTGTGTGTGTGTGTGTGTATGTTGTGTGTCTGTGTTGTGTGTGTGTGTGTGTGTGTGTGATGTTGGGTGTTTTGCGCACATCTGGCTGTGTGCAACGTCATGACGAGGGCTTGAATACGTATAGTGCATGCGTATTATATACATGTCATATTTAATTTGAATGCTGAGCATAGTTATGGTTGAGCAGGTGTGCGTGCTGTTTTGACAGTATGGTTATAAGGAAACTTATAAACCAGCATCTCTAACAAGTATGACAACCACAATGTTTCACAATTTTGTATTCGTTGTGAACAGCATGTTTGTTTACTTAAACCTTATTTTTGACCTGTAATTTTGCTCGAAGTATTCTTGAGTCCCCATGAGAGATATCTGGGAATTTAAAAATTGTGCTTTAACAAGCCTGGAGATGTTATGAAAATGAATCAAATCTTGGGCTTTTTTGTAATGCATTTTATTTTTCTAGATTTGATCTGCTCTAAAATATTTCACTGGCTCTATATTGGTCTTGTGTAGATGGCAAGCCATAGTGAGATCTATTTTGTTGTTCAAAAATTGGTCTGGATGATTAATTAGTAATTCAGTGTGAAATGAATTTTGACTCAAAGTTATGTAAATTCATTGTTTAAGATATGTGGAAATCCATTTGCCAAAAGGTAAAACGATAATTGGTTTGACCAGTATTTTTACCTTTAACTTAAAATAATTTAAGTAATTTATTTAATGTATCATTTGGATAATAACTTCACATTTTATTAAATATAAGCAACTTCTAGTTAAAATGTATAATTACAATTTAATAATTTAAATTAATTTGAGACCAGTTAGCTTACAAAGCAACTTTGCACTATTATAATGGCATAACAATGAGACTGCTGATATAAAAGTAAAAGCCACAAGCAAAAAATGTAAAAGTAAAAAAAAAAGTGTCTTAAAAGTATCTATCTATCTAGCTATCTATCTGTCTGTCTGTCTGTCTATCTATCTATATGTATATACGTGTATGTGTGTGTGTGTGTGTGTGTCTGTGTGTATATATATATATATATACATACACATTTTTCTTTTTTTTTACTTTAAAAAGTATTTAAAAATTATTTTATTCTTGCTGTTATTAATAATATTTTATGTTTTAATTGCAATTAAATGTTTAGATGATTTAATTGTTATCTCTAATGATCATTTAGCCATTAATGTGTCAAAAGAACTGAAGTCATTAATTTTAAGGTAATAAGGTTATCAGACACTACTCTAACAAGTCAGAATGGGTCCATTTCTGCTTTTAAGTGTCTTAAAAAACCTTTCCACTTGAATTCTCATTAGGACTGCTTGACTGTACCATAGTCAAGCATTTCTGTGAAATACTGAGCTCATGTTTTACTGTTCTTGATGCACGTCTTCTTGTAGTGTGGTTTAGATCAGCGCAATTATCTCATTGTGCCTCATCGTTCACATTTTAAAGGCTGACTCTGAGTCTGATGCGACGTGATGAAGCACTGGTCAGATATGATGGGTGTGGTTTGCCTCATGTGACCAGAAGTAAGTGGGTTAGAATCAGGTCAGACGAGTGACCTCTCATAGCCTCACTGACCTCAAAGTCAGAAGTTCACACCAGCAGATTTCCCATTTTTAAGTGCACTTCCCTAAAGTTGTATATTCCTTTTTGCTTGTGGCTGTTTTCTTAAATGACACTTGTCTGTGTTGACTAATAAGTTGATATTTCAAGGGTCTGCATTGTGTCTCACCTATGGAATACCCCCATCTGAAGGGGCTTTGTGAGGAAAGGTTACCTTGCACATTGTATTTTCCCTTAGAACATGTTCAGTGGTTCTGTACTATTGCTGAGAAATAAGGCTTTTTCAAGATTGTATAAATTAATGTGTCTTTTGGGTACAGTGGTTGATTGACATGAGGTCTTTACAGCCTATGAAATCCATTTTATTTTTCCCAAATTCAGTTTTTCCATTTTCTGGTTTTATTTTAATGGTTAGATTAAATATTATTAATCAAAAATCATGTCTAATTAATTGAAATCATGAAACTGATGAACAACAATTCATTAAAAAGTAAAAAAAAATACATTTTAGTCGGGCTGGGTATCATTAAAAAATTATCGATACCGATACCTTGACTTCGATACCTGTTCCTGAACAATACTTTTTTCGATACCAATTTTATGAAATCAATTTTAATTTCAGCAACATTACATGGCCAAAACACACATTAGACGGCAATCGGAAGTTATTACAAACACTCGATGGTGGTTTAAAGTGAGTTTTGAGTAAAAGCGGAATATAAATCGTATTTATTGTCTTATGTAGCATAATGCTACAGTTTGCATGAATGGTCACATAACACGCGCTTTCGGTCGTGTAGTATGAACGGACGTCTGCATATGATTGGAACTCCACGCAGCTCCCGCGCTAATCTCTATTGGAAATTAATGACTTAACCGGTCTGTCGTTTGTCGGAGATAGTGGAAAGCGGAAGCCAGCGCTGTCTGTGAATGTGAATATTTATTTGTTATTAAATGGCTTTTAAGGGTGATTTTGAATCATAATTTCAACCAAATTGCAAATGCTTATTGCAGTTACACAAAATCACAGTATAAAATCTAGTTAAAAGAATCAAAATAAGCATTTTAATCAGTCTGTCCCTAAATTAACATTAGCCATCAGTTCTTAAAAATAACTTTTGTTCAAATTTTTCAAATCTTTTTCAAATGTTTATTTACCTTCAGACGTTATTGTGTTAAAAAGCATAAATTAAATAATAATGAATAACTGTATGAATAATAAAAAATTAATTGTTCTGTTTAAAAGAGTGATTTTGGACCATAATTTCAACCAAACTGTCATTGTAGCCAATTAGATTGGAAATATTGAATGCAGTTACATAAAACGCAGTAAAAAAAAAGTCTAGTCAAAAAGAATAGAAATAATCTTTTTAAACAGTTTCCTCCTAAATTAACAATAGTTCTAGAGTTCTTGATCCAGCACAAGGTGGGTACAGTTTTCGTTCCAAGTTTTCTTTAATATTTAAAAAACACTGCGGTGGTGATAATCCCAAAACAGAAAAAAAAATGATGACAAAAAGAAGGGGAGAACGATAAAAGGGGTAACGAGAGCGTGAACC